AAGCCTCCCACCTCGGCTGTGGGGATGCCCGGAATGATGTCATCAGAATTGGTTCTGCTTAAGGAGTTGATTTGAACAAACCGAGTTTCCCAGGTTCCACTTCTGGACTGAACCACAACGGATAGAGATAATTCACAGAGACCATTTGAGTGTTCTCACTGGTGTTTTCTCTCTATGCAAAATAAAACCTGACAGTTGCAATTCACTGTGGCTCATATTTCAATAAGTCAAAAGGAAGAGGTCTATGAAATTTCTTGGCCTAAAATATCCTAACAGTAATGGCGATCTAAGAGATGAGCAATTTATACAAACTAAGATAGCTAACAAGCAATTTACATCGAACCAGATTTTATTACCATTCCCTCACTAAGAAACATAGCTGGGTGGTGGTGGTGGTGGTAGTGGTGGTGGTGGCGCACGCCTTGAATCCCAACACTCAGAAACATTTATTTGGACTCCTGGTTTCAGTGCAGACACTGGTCACTCGGCCCGTTGCTTTGGGGCTTGTGATGAGACTACATCATGGCAGGGAGCATATGATTCATCAACGGCATTCCCCTAAAGGCAGCCCGGAAGCAAAGAGAATGGGGAAGAAGCTGGCTCCATGCTTTCTGTGAAGGACACAGTCCCAAGGACGGGCTCCTCCCCTCCCTAAAGATTCCACCTCCTCCCTGTACCTCCAACAGGCTGGTAACCAAGCCTTCAGTACACCGGCCATTGGCACTTATTCAAAGTGTGGCATTCTGTCCCTGGCCCCAAAGGCTCATTTCCATTTCATAATGTTTCTGCAAGAGTTTCCAAAATTTTAACTGCTTCAAAATTATTCACCAGTCCGTGTCAAAAGTTTTCTTTGAGACTCGTGGCAGATCCAGCTGAGAAGCTGCAAAAAGTAAAAAGATTACTTATGTTCAGGATACAACAACACAAGGTAAACATTCCTGATCCAAAAGGAGGCATCGATGTGTATGGTGATATTTGTGCTGAAATGTGATTTTATCTGCATGTTAATAAAGTTGCCTGGAGATCAAAGCTAAGAGCAAGCCATAAAGCAGAAGTCTGGTAGTGGTGGTGCACGCCCTTAATCCGATCACATGGCAGGCAGAATCTGTGTGTTCAAGGACACAGCCAGCATGGTGACACACGCCTTTAATCTCAGTACCAACCATAGAGACCTGGAGGTCTGTATAGACAGGCAGTGTCAAGGAAGTCATGTGGTTGGGTTTAGAGCCAATGAGAAGGCAGAACACAAAGGCAATAAAAAGACAGACACACAGGAAGAAGGTCTCTCTCAGGGGAAGGACAGCAGCGAGTGGTAAGATAAGGTGGTCTTAGCTCTTGGCTACTGCTCGATCTCTGGGCTTTTAACTCTGCATTTGGCTCTGTGTTTCTTATTTAATAAGACCATTTAGAATTTCATCTACAGATGTGTAGAAAGGATCAGATCAAAGCAAGATTCAAAGGAAGCAGGGCAAACATTAAAGCCCACGTCTGCATATCTGATGCACACCAGGGCAGCGTGTGAAGGGCTCAGGCAGTCCTGTTCCTACAGATTCGCTGACTGCAGCCCACATGCCCACACTCTGGTGCTGGCTGTACCCACCTCATGAAGCGTCCCTTGGCAGTTCTGTCACCTCTGCTGGGGTCTCCATTCTGGGCTCAGCTTCCCTCTCATATTTCCAACACATTGCCAGCTTGAGAGCTGCTGATGGGAACACCTACTCCACTGCCACACAGTGCTTAGCATCCCAGGCTGACTTCTGAAATCTTTGTGGAAATCTCCAGGACTCCATAACTCTTGCATTTTGAATGTCTGTAAAGCCAGCATGATGTAGATGATGCCAAGGTCTGTCACCAGCACAAGCTGACCGGGACACACCTGAACTGTCACTGTAGTCACCGAGTGTCTGGATGTGAGGAAGGGGTTTCAGGACAACGTTTTCCAGATTGCCCTGCGGAAGGTGGCTGTCCTGGGTCTCTCTAAGGAAAATGTCTGAGTCCTTTGAGGTTGTGGTCTGAACAATTCTTGAATGTGCCTTCAAGGTATTCTATTACCTTGGTGCCAGGTTGTAGCTAGAGTTTTCCTGCCTGGCCCACAGTCAGGACAAATCTCTCTCACCTGCCAGTCCCACAGCCGCTCAAACCCAACCAAGTAAACACAGAGACTTATATTGGTTACAATCTGTATGGCCGTGGCAGGCTTCCTGCTAACTTTTCTGACAGCTTAAATTTATCCATTTCTATAAATCCATACCTTGCCACGTGGCTCGTGGCTTACCGGCATCTTCACATGCTGTTTGTCATCGTGGTGGCTGGCAGTGTCTCTCACTCAGCTTTCCACTTCCCAGCTTTATTCTCCTCCTTGTCCCGCCTATACTTCCTGCCTGGCCACTGGCCAATCAGTGTTTTATTTATATAGAACGATATCCACAGCACCAGGTACTTAGTTTTACTTTTTAAATCTATTTTTATTCATTCTTTGAGAATTCCATACACATTTTGATCATATTCACCCCTCCTCTAACTCTTCCCTTCCTGACCCATTCAACTTTGTGTCCTTTTAAAAAATAATAATACATACACATATCGAGACCAATTTGTGTTGCCCAAACTTCCTTGGATATGTGGCCTCCCACTGGAGTGTGGTCAACTTAACAGGGCTACACTCTTAGAGAAACAGGACTCTCCTCCCAGCAGCTAACAGCTGCCAACAGTAGCTCAGCTAGGAGTGGGAGGGACTTCATGCCCACCATTCCTCGTCATGAGACTTGATCCGCCTTGGGCTTGCACAGGTCTTGTGCATGCTAGCACAAATGCTGTGAGCACAAATGCTGTGAGCGCATGCGCGCAGCTGCCCTACTGCCTTCAGAACAAACTTCCTTCTTGTCATCTGCCACCTCTGGATCTTACACTTTGTCCACCCCTCTTCTGAAGTGATCCCTGAGCCCCAGGCCCACGTAGGCCTGAGCCGTCCACAGTCTCTTATTCTCTGCCCCATGACCAAATGTTAACCACCACCTACTACACATAGAAGCCTCTCTGGTGAGAGCTGAGAGATGCATTCATCTATGGGTATAACAGTAGGTCCTTAGGTGTCAGTTTAATATTGTGTCCATTCAGCAGAGTAGGAATAACAGGTTCTCCCCTAGAGCCTCTGACCTGTCAAACCATAGGTTCTTGGTCTGCTGGTAATGTCAGTCATGGGTTTTATCTTGTGGAGCAGGATTTAAACTCAATCAAAAGGAGTTGGATGCTCCCACGATGTTCGAATACTATTGTGCCTGAGGGCATGTCTTGCCAGGCACTCATTATTGTAGCTCATCAGGCTAAGGCTGGTAACCACTTTTCTCCTCTGGTAGCGTGCTTAGCACCTTCCAGCACTATGAAAGCTAGCAGCCAGTAGGGATGAAGTTCCAAGTCGGTACCAGCTTGACTATTCCATGTTCTATGACTCAAGATTGTGGTGCTTCAAAAACAGGGTCTTGCCCTCATGTTCTAGAGGGGGCCCAGAGCACTGGTAGTAGCCTGGGATGTCTGGCCTTGAGTCCTTACAGAAGCAACTGTTACTCCATATTTACACATCCTAGGCTTTCTCTAGCCTGTTTCTTCAGACTTTTCCAGATTATCCTTCTACAAATCAATTTCAAAGGCTTGGGAGCTACACCATCAATTGTCATTACAATAACTGCGCTGTTGTGTGGCTGTTCATCCAAATTGAAACATTCCCTCCTGGAGGGAAGAAAGAAGTTCACCCAATTCACGAAACCAACAAGAGACTTAGCAGACTCCCAGGGTTTGTTCCTGAGTTTATAAAAACAGCACACAACACAACTGCCTGGGAAGAGGAAACCTCCGGCGTCGTTACCTGCAAGTTGCCCAGGGATGCCCAGGGACGCAGCTTTTAGAAGTCTTTGCCCAGGCTAGGGTGGGCTTTCCACATGTAGCTTCCCAAGTCATCCATGCTCCTGTAAGAACCCCCGCCTCCACGTTCCTGTAAGTAGCCACAGTAACCCTTTGGTTCTCCAAGTTGGATTCTGGCAAAATTGCTCCTTTGTTCTATTCCTACCCTTTTTATTTAGGGTGACTAGAAGATGACTCCCCAGGAAGACACACAACAGATTCCACTTTGGGGCACGATATTCTACTAGCTCTCTGTTACTATGGGAAATAAAACTTGAAATAATCAACTTAATCAAGAGCAAGGTTTGTTGCGGCTCACGGTTTCAGGGGCCGTGAGTGGGTGGGTGGCCCACTGCTTTGAGGTTAGTGGCCAAACAGTAAATAATGCTGGGGAACACAGAGTAAGCAAAGCTGTCTACCTTGTGGTGGCTGGGAAGTGAAAGGAAGGGCTAGATTCTCAATATCCTCCTCAAGGGCATACCTCTAGGGACCCAACTTCCTCCCACAAGAGCCTATTCCTAAAGATTCCACTGCCTCCCAAAGGCACCACGACCAAGCTTTCAACAGATGAGCCTGTGGGGGGCATTTATTCAAACTACAGTACAGAATTTCACTCACCCTAACATTATTAGACAAAACAAAACGCAAACTTAACAGGGTTCACCCTGTCTTCCAGAGAATTCTTACTTGAATTTAAGAAGTTCATATACTATCAATAAATGAGGATTTTGCTAACTCACCAGCTAAGAGTTCTAAATCAAACACAAGGTTTTGGGTTACAGGTGAGTTGGAGTACTTGGGATGAAGTTTAACTGCTTTATCCATGATACAGTATAATGATATCATACTTGGTAGTAGGCTAAAACTAGATTATATCTAAAGCATCTAGCTCTAAGATTTTACAATTATAATTGCTGGGGTGAAAGATAACTGAAACATTATAAGATATGACAATGTGCTTACCCCAACTCAGAACAGCAATTTTTGTTTAGTTAGCTTTTGAGACAGGGACTCAATAATGTAACCCAGGCTGATCTAGAACTCACAGCAATTCCCCTGCCTCTGCCTCCTGAAAGTAGAGACCACAGGTGTGAGACACCATATCCAGCTCAGAATACACCTTTAATTTGGAGGATGGTTCTTCCACAGAATTATCAAAACAAAGACATGCTACCCCCATTTTGAGATGGGATCTATAACTGCAGTAGGTCATTCTGAGGTCAGAGATAAACAATGCACATAAACAGCTCTATTAGCCAGAGACTGTGGATGAGGGGATGGAAGTCATTACGAAGGATATGTCACTGTATGTCTGCAGGAGTCGCCTGTTGTATGTTTACAATGGAAGACACCTACAAAACTGGGTAACACAAAAGCCGTTCCACATAAGCACTAAAGAATAGGTGGACTTAGGGAGTTTCCAGTCACCATTTCTCACTTATTAAAAAAAGATGTTGGTAAAGGACCAGGCAGTGGTGGCGTACGCCTTTAATCCCAGCACTTAGGAAGCAGAGGCAGGCAGATCTCTGAGTTCAGGGCCAGCCTGGTCTAAAAAGTGAGTTCTAGGACAGTCAGAGCTGTTACACAGAGAGACCCTGTCTCGAAAAAACAAAAACAAAACAATAATACAATAAGCATTGTATTAAGTGTGGTGGTTTGATTAGGAATGGCCCCCATAGACTCATAGATTTAAATGTTTGATCACTAGGGAGAGGCACTATTAGGAGGTGTGGCCTTATTGGAGGAAGTGTGTCATTGGGGGTGGGCTTTGAGGTTTCAGAAGCTCAGCCAGGCCCAGTAGTTCATTCTTTCTGCTGTCTGCTGATCCAGATATATCACTCTGAGCTCCTTCTCCAGCACCACGTCTGCCTGCATGTCGCCATGCTTCCCACCATGATGATAATAGATTAAAGCTCTGAATGTGTAAGCCAGCCCCAATGAAATGTTTTCCTTTATAAAAAGTTGCTGTGTGGAGCTGGAGAGATGGCTCAGTGGTTAAGAGGACTGGCTGCCCTTCCAGAGGTCCTGAGTTCAATTCTCAGCAACCACATGGTGGCTCACAATCATCAATAGTGGGATCTGATGCCCTCTTCTGGCATAAAGTCATACATGCTGATAAAGCACTCAAATACGTAAAATAAAGGAATCTTTAAAAAAAAGTTGCTGTGGTCATGGTGTCTCTTCATAGCAACAGAATATTAGCTAAGACATTAAGTCATTATTAAACCAAGTAATTGACTTACTTCATATAGAAGCATGACTTATTACACATCTGTGAATACAGGACAAGAAGAATTTTAAAGTATATATGTTAGCTGGGCATGGTGGAACACACCCATAGTTCCAGCTACTCAGGAGGCTGAGAGAGAAGGTTCACTTGAGTCCAGGAGTTTGGGACCAGTCTGGGCAATTTAACAAGACCCATTCTGAAAATTCAAAACCACACAAATATATGCTTTTCCTAAATTTGGAAAGCGTTTTAAATGGTCTTCAAATATAACTGCGTTTTCCAGCACTCCAAAGGTGGACTTCATCACGGATTCCACGTTAGTGGCTTTCACCAGCGCAGCTGGACAAGGTTCTGTCACTACTTGAAGTTATGAGTTCAGTTCTAACGGACAATATTAAGCCAAGTTAGAACTTAATAATCTGTTACAGCCTATATCAAATTGTAAATAATTTCACATTTTCATAACTGTATACATTTCCTAAGAGATGCATGGTTGCTAACTAAATTCATAGTAATTTCTTGGTTTCACTTAATTGTATTTCCAATGTGAACCGGGACTATTATATTGGCCCATTTATAAATAACAGGAACAAAAAGCCCTAGAGTCCCGATGATCGAAACCAGAAGAAAAGTCCACAGAAACATCCGATCAAGAACTTGGGCTATGAATTTCCAATCTTCAACAACCTGTTGAAAAAACATTGAATACAAATATCAAAGGTACATACTAATTTTAAGACAAAAAAAAAGAGTTAGAATAATCATTTGCTGTCTTCAAAGTGTAAGTGTCCTGTGCCCAAGGTCTCTAAGATGGACTAGTACAATTTATTAAGTGCCATTCCAGTCTGAATCATTAGCTAACAAATATTCTTACCTCTTTTTTTTTTTTTTTTTTTTTTTTTTTTTGGTTTTCGAGACAGGGTTTCTCTGTGTAGCTTTGCACCTTTCCTGGATCTCGCTCTATAGACCAGGCTGGCCTCGAACTCACAGAGATCCACCTGCCTCTGCCTCTCAAGTGCTGGGATTAAAGGCGTGCGCCACCACCTCCCGGCTATATTCTTACCTTTTACTATTCCACTGATAGCTTACACCCCTATGATGATAATTTAATTATACTACCACCATATACTACAATCAACAAGCATTAGTTTGTTAGAAGTAAACTAGGTACAGTGGCACGAGCATGTAGTACCAGCCACTTGAAGGCTGAAGCAGGAGGAGCCCAAGTTCAAGGCCACCCTGAACAACAATAGCAAAAAGCTGACTCAAAGTTGTAACCTGGACATAGTGGTATTTGCCGTAATTCCAGCATTCAGGAGGCTGAAGTAAAAGGATTGAGGGTTCAAGGCTAGCCTGAGCTACACAGTGAAACCCTGTCGGGGAGTGGGGGGGTGGGACGACACGGATGGACCCCACTCAGCGTGGCAATGCATGCCTTTAATCCCAAAAGGTGAATTTCTGTGAGTTTGAAGCCAGCCTGGTCTACATAGCAAGTCAGTCCCAGGCTAGCCAGGGCTATATAGTGAGACCCTTTTTCTCAAAAAAAAAAAAAAAAGGAAGGAAGGAAGGAGAGAGAGGGAAGAGAATAAGAAGGGAAGGGAGAGGAAGGTGAGATGGGGAGGGAGGGAGGGAGGGAGGGAACAAAGGCTGTTAGGGCAAGGGAGGAGTTAGAGAGAGGAAGGGAGGGAGGGAGGGAGGGAGGGAGGGAGAGAGAGAGAGAGAGAGAGAGAGAGAGAGAGAGCGCCCTGAATTCAGACCCCAGTAAGAAACAGTAGTAAAAGACTGTTACTATATCAGATTAATTTCATCTACTACTCACATCTGATAGAAAATGCTCCATTTAAAAAGCTTTAGAGGCCGGGCGGTGGTGGCGCACGCCTTTAATCCCAGCACTCAGGAGGCAGAGGCAGGCAGGTCTCTGTGAGTTCGAGGCCAGCCTGGTCTCCAAAGCGAGTTGTAGAACAGGCTCCAAAAACTACACACAGAAACTCTGTCTCAAAAACAAACATAAACAAACAAACAAAACAAAACCAAAAAAAAGCTTTAGAAATTAGGATTTGGGAGCTGGAGAGACGGCTCAGCAGTTAGGAGCACTTATTGCTCTTGTAGGCCAGGGGTCAGTTCCCAGCACCCACACAATGGCTCACAGCCATCTAACTCCACTTCTAGGGGCTCTGAAGCCTTCTTCAGACTTCCTCAGGCACCAGGCATGCATGTGATGCACATACACGCAAAACACTCAGACACATAAAATGAAATAAATAAATCTGAAAAAAGATTAATAAAACATAAATTAGAATTTGCATAATCTTTTTTTTTGTTTTTTGTTTGTTTGGTTTTTTTTTTTTTTTTTGGTTTTTCGAGACAGGGTTTCTCTGTGTAGTTTTGCGCCTTTCCTGGAACTCACTTGGTAGCCCAGGCTGGCCTCGAACTCACAGAGATCCGCCTGGCTCTGCCTCCCGAGTGCTGGGATTAAAGGCGTGTGCCACCACCGCCCGGCTGAATTTACATAATCTTTTTTTTTTTTTTTTTTTTTTGGTTTTTCGAGACAGGATTTCTCTGTGTAGCTTTGCGCCTTTCCTGGAACTCACTTGGTAGTCCAAGCTGGCCTCGAACTCACAGAGATCCGCCTGGCTCTGCCTCCCGAGTGCTGGGATTAAAGGCGTGCGCCACCACCGCCCGGCGAATTTACATAATCTTAATGGGACTGCTAAATGTAAATTCAGCTATAAAATATTAAGAGTCATAACTTTAAAAATATATAATAGATATAAAGGAATGTTGTAGATTATTATTTTAAAATAATATATTATATTTGTTATATTTGTTTATGCTGTGGAACATTTGTTTAGTGATGCAAAGATGTGTTGCATCAGTTCAGCACTATAAATTGATAAAACACATGTCCAAATTTTGCATTTCAAATATCAATTAACCTTTACAAGCCAACGAAACTTATTTTTCTGTAAGGCTTTAAAGAAACTGTGTTTTAAGCACATTAGGTACTATTACTGCTTCGCATGAAAACCTTGAAGTATAAACGTAACACATGAGAACACCTAACTCCTTTTCTTTATTTTTATGGTTTTTTATTTCGTTTGCTTTTTATGAGACATAGTCTCCCTATGTAGTCCAGGCTGACCTTGAACTTACTAAGTGACTCAAGACAGACTTTCTCAATCCTCCTGCCTCAGCCCCTTGAATGGTAGGATTATAGATAGGCATCTTGCTCCTTTTAATTTTACTAATATTCTTTTTTAAATGAGCCACAAAAAGATGTTTTTCTAGAAAAGTACTTTGGCTGTACTTACAATGCCTACATCAGGCTCATCCTTCAAAAAGTAATTAAATTTTGATAAATTATAATGCCAAAATTCAGAAACTAAGTTTCTGAAGATAAATCTAAATCAGCAAATCATTCTGGAGCCAAAATCTATGACAATACTACTATCCCTTCAAATGTGTACTGCTAAATTTTCTTCAGAGTCATTCAAGACGCTCTGGGGAAATGGAAAGGTGAGGTTTGTGTAGACGCCCCGTTTTGCAGGGGTTTGCAGGGAAACAAATTCAGTACTCGCCACGGACCTCGCGGACGTCATTCTCCTTCATGACATGCCTGGTGATGTAGCGGATACAGTCGAGGGCAGCTTCCAAAGTGTTCCTAGATTTAGGTCCGCTACTGTTCTCAGTTTCTTCTCTCTGAGTGAAGTACCTGTCTACGTGACTTCTCATGCAAAGCAGTTTGGGAAGCTTGTGAAGGAATATCTTACGAACCCAAGGTGCCATAGCACTGTGTGTTGAGGAAGAGCGGTGGTGGATGTTGATGGCAAAGACAGTCACCATAATGGACAGTGTCACGAAAATCATGGTAAACACCAAGTACTCTCCAATCAGAGGTATGACTTTGGAAGACGAGGGTATGATCTCTTCAATAACCAGGAGGAAGACAGTCAGAGAGACAAGGACTGACGTGCACAGGCTGATCTTTTCCCCTTCATTTGAAGGGAGATAGAAGACAACCACAGTCAGAAATGAGAGCCCGATGCACGGTATGATAAGAAAGAGGGTATAAAAGAGTGGCAGCCGCTTAATCACAAAAGAGTACGTGACGTACGGGTACCAGCAGCAGCTGTCCGTTCTGTTTCCTTTGTTTCCCATTGCACTCATGATTTCCCATTCCCCATTGTCAAAGAAGTCCGTCCTGTCCACGTCTTGGTCCTCCAGGATTATATCAACCTGGGATCCATCATATGTCCAAGAGCCGAATTTCATGGAACAATTCTGGAGATCAAATGGGAAAAAGGTGACATCTATGGTACAGGAACTTTTGTAGTTTGCTGGTTGCGTCCAGGTGACGGTGCCATTGTATCTGACAATTGTTTTCGTACTGGCCCCTTCAAATCGCCCATCTGCACTAAAAGAAACACACCATAATTAAACAACCCGAAGTTAAACAACCCAAGCCCACATTTTATAAGCCCAATAGGAAAGGAACCGACGAGTAACAGCATGAAATATATTTGAAATTACTGCCTGCCCAAAGGCCTGCTCCACCCACGGGGCCTGCTTTCTGGACATCTTCCTGACATGTCTGATTCTGCTGGAACTGAACCTACTCTCCCCTTTGTATTGGGAGATGGGCAAATCCATTTTCTCAAAATGTTGAGATTTTGTAGTTGAAAAGACCTCACTTGACATATACATAGAATCAGGCTGTTTATATACGATGCATGCAAAGAGGCAGAGCCTAAATCTATATCCCCAGACTTCCTCCTCCACCAAAACAGTAGATGCTTTCTACCCTAAGAGGAAAAGAGTATTTGCACCAGGCAAGGTACACCTGGACCCTCCTGTGCTGGAGAGGTTCAGCTGCAGGTGGAAGCTCCAGCACCCGAATCCTCCACAGCATACCTGCTCTATATCTTCAGGTTCGTGTGGGTTTTTGCATGGTCCTGCATAATCTAATGTTTAGTATAAAAACGTTTTCAGTTACGGAGAGCAGCCGATGCTTAGGGAGCTGCCTCATGCTACCTCTCAAGCTTTCTCCGTCCTTCCATATTGAGGAACACGGAAGTAAAGGTTTCAAAAGATCATTTTTGCACAGCATTTGCTCTGTCTCCATGCCAAAGCCTTTGTGCAAACAGGACAGCGTGCTTTCAGTTACTGAGAGGAAGGTGATGTGCAGGGAGCTGCCTCCTGTTCCCTTAAACGTTTTCTTTACCCTTCCGTATAGGAACACGGAAGTAAAAGGTTTCAAAAGATCGTTTTTTGCATAGCATTTGCTCTAAAAGCCTTTGTGCGAATAAGAGAGGGAGCTTTAGCATACATGCAAACTCTGACATTTACTCTGACATGGCCCTAGGCGGGGAAAATGCAGCTGTTGCTGACAATTACCCTCCAAACACACCTAGACAGCCTGCCTGCCCATACCCGAGTTAAAAATCAACCCCAGACTCCTCACCGGGGGAAGATGGCAATACTGTGCTGTCATGACAGCGTATTTAGAAAATATTAGAAGACGGCACTGAACATAAACTGTAACCTCAACTAAAACACAAATCCCCCCAAACGTGGGAGTCTGACTGGAGTAAGGGAATAAATGGGGATGTCCTGGTGTCTTGGGGTGAAACCTTACTCTGCCACATGAGAGCTTTGCCATCATAGCAAAGTGTAACTATGTTAGGTCCATGTAAGATGGGCAGCACACCCAGCATATAAGACTGCTGTGAGCACACTGCCAAGCACATAAAGGTTTTCTGTAAATGTAAGTTAATCACAAGCATGATCTCTCTCCCCACTTCTTCTGTTTGCCAAGTCCTTTTTTTCTTATTTCAGAATCAGATACCACTTTTATTATTAAAACACACACACACACACACACACACACACACACACACACACACACACACACCAAAAAAAGACAATGGATCCGCAGCACTCATGAAACAAATAAGCACAAATTCAAGTCATTTGATTTCATAGCTAAACAATTTGCAGACGGGAGGGAAAAATTACTAGTGCCTAGTTGCAATGCAAGTTTTCTTTTGGAAACATAAAGTAATATTTAGAATATAACTTACTTATCAAACAAAACGATGTCTGGGATCCACAGAGAGTCTGAAGGAACACGTATAATTTTTATTCCACCATAGTCATCAGGATTCCATCTTAATTTTACATCTATCCATTCCTTTAAAATGAGAAATTCACCTCCATTTCAATCAATAAATAATAAAATAAGTTAAAACTATGCTTTTTTTTAATCATACCCAGAACCTTTAGACACGAATCATTTCTGCCCCTAATTCATTCAGAAAACCTTCTCAACTAATATCCTGCCCCTCTGTGCAGTAGCTCCAGCTGTGGCTCTGATGAGGCACAGGCGAGAGGAACCATACCGATGCATTCATGGTTCTCTACTTGGCAGGTTATAACCAGAGACAGAGAAAGAGTAAACAATGGAAAACACTCAATGGCAGCTGGAGATATACATATGATGGTCCAGAATTAAAAAGCCCTTCATGTAAAATGCACTCTGTACATTAAAATAACTCATTACAGAGGGATCACTAGGGAATTAGAGGGGCACTGGAAGAGGAAGGTGATAACGTAAGGAATGAGGGACATGGTCAATGCATGGTGTATGTATAGATGAAAATATCACAGTAACTCCCAATAATGTGTACAGTTAGCACGTTAATAATTATAATAATAACTAGCTGCATTCCTGTCCATTCCTGTTGCACTCAAATAAAAAGCCAAAATCTTGGAGCTAGACAGACAGCTCAGTGGTTAACAGCACTTGAAACTTTTGTAGACCAGGGTCCAGTTCCCAGCATCCACAGGGCAGCTTATAACACTCTGTAATGCCAGTTCCTGGTGATACAATGCCCTCTTCTGGCCTCCGTGGGCATTTCACGTACATGTGTACTTAACACGCATGCAGACTAAACACTCATACATAAAAATAAATAAATCTTTTTAAAAAGAACTAAACAATAAAAAGTAAAAGTCCAAATCCTTGCAGGGTCCGATAAGCTACTATTCTAGCGGCTTCTCGTTGCTCCCTTGACCCCATCTCCAACCCCTCCCCATGGCTCACACACCTTTAGCCACATTAGTTTCCTTACTAGACACAATCCAGCCTCTGCTGGTCCTCTATCCAGAGCACGCTTGGCCCCCAAGTGCCCCTAAGGCTTGCCCCATCCCCCCAGAGACTTTGTACGAGCTTTGTCTTTCCAGCCACACTTTTCTGAGGTTTGTTCGGGTGTTTTGTTTGGTTGGTTGTTCTTTTTGTTTACAAGTACAGTCCCCAACGCTCTCCCCATCCTCTCTCCTAATATGGTCCTCTCTCAGACTGTCAGTCTCTAAGGTGCTGTGAAACATGACCATTCATTCTTTCCCCTCTCGAACGCAGTGCCTGGAGACCGAGTTCTGTCTGTTCTATTCACTGCAGTTTCCCCTGGTGCTTGGCACGTATCAGACCCACAGAAAACACCCACTGAAGCCAGGCATAGTGGCAGACATCTGTGATTCCAGAGCTTGGGAGGATGAAGATAAAGACCGAGGAAGTTAAGGTCAGCCTGGCTACATACTATAGACAAATACATACATACACGTACAGTGAGTACAATAATGGCACCTGTTCTCATCTTGTACAACCCGACAGTCCACAGAGCCCACATATGTTCCTTTTGCTGTGGGGCCTATAATAAAGAGTGCTGCCAGCTGCTAGCTGGGCGCCTGCTGAATGGTATACACACCTGTTTCAACCAGACGTTTGTTGTCATTAGCTGGTTTTTCTCATCCTGTTAAAGAAAAAAAAAAAGGCAGGTTGGTTCTTTTGTTACACAGCAGTTACAAATTCTTTAAGAATCTGTGTGTCATGGCGGTTGCTGATTGGGTGTCACCGCTAAGCCTGAGCTCTAACTCAAAAAAGGGCAGCTTTCTTCCCCTTTCTATTTCTTCTTTGAACATCAGCCGAAACCCCAAGCATGTTCTCCCTGACACTCTGGCTTCCTCAGTTTTCCCGAAGAAAACACCCACTTTCTATAGCTCCTCACAGTCTTCCACTGCTGACCCTAACTCAAAGTGGCTCTCGTCTCCCTCCTTCCTGCACCTGCTGAGATTTACAGCCCGCTGCCCTGTTCATTCTCATTCTCACTCTCATTCTTTCTCTCTCTCTCTCTCTCTCTCTCTCTCTCTCTCTCTCTCTCTCTCTCTCTCTGTGTCTGTCTGTCTGTCTCTGTCTTTCTCTCTCTAATAATATGGTCCTTAAGCTTAAAAAATTATACATTTCAGCCGGGCGGTGGTGGCGCACGCCTTTAATCCCAGCACTCGGGAGGCAGAGCCAGGCGGATCTCTGTGAGTTCGAGGCCAGCCTGGACTACCAAGTGAGTCCCAGGAAAGGCGCAAAGCTACACAGAGAAACCCTGTCTCGAAAAACCAAAAAAAAAAAAAAAAAAAAAAAAAAAAAAAAAAAAAAAAAATTATACATTTCAATACAAATGTCCCTCTCTGTATGGAACGGACACCCTGCTAATTGAGTTGACTCTCTAGAAAACAAGATTAATCTCATATTATTCCTCTAAACATTCTGTAGTTCAGGTAAACTACCTCAAAGCGTACCACTGGTGATTCTATGTTTAGTTTGCATTTCCTCAGATTTGAGAGGCTCTGAAATAGGAGAACAGCAGTATTCACTTCGCCCTAAAGGGTGTGAAGGCGTATGCTATGCACTCAGTGTGCCTTTCTTAAAGGACAGAGAAATTCAGACATTTGTGTACAAATATATCATCATTAGAAGAAACTAGACATTTTCTGCCAATAGAAATATGAATAAATTATATAAGGATTTTAATGTAGCTAGGGAGAAAAGCAGTCAGCAAAATCATACTGAAAACACATTCCAGGGGCTAGAGAGTTGGCTCAGTGGTTAAGAGCACTTGTTCTTGCAAAGGACCCAGGTTCGATTCCCAGCACCCACATGGAGGCTTACCACTTCCTTAGGCACCAGCCAGGCATGTGGTACACAGACATACATGCAGGCAAAGCGCTCATACACACAAAATAAAATAAATCTAAAAAACAAAACAAGCCGGGCGGTGGTGGCGCACGCCTTTAATCCCAGCACTCGGGAGGCAGAGCCAGGTGGATCTCTGTGAGTTCGAGGCCAGCCTGGACTACCAAGTGAGTTCCAGGAAAGGCGCAAAGCTACACAGAGAAACCCTGTCTCGAAAAACCAAGAAAAACAAAACAAAACAAAACAAAACAAAACAAAACCCCCACACATTCCAAGTTTGTAAAAGAGGCACAAGGAAAAAAATGGCCAGAAACACAACAAATTGGGCTTTTTGTTTTTATACAGGGTCTCAGTAGCCCAGGCTGGTCACAAACTCTCTCTGTTGCAGGAGATAACCTAGAACTCCTGATTCTCCTGCTTGTATTCCCACATGCTGGGATTATAGGTGTACATCTCCCCCCATCTCAGCAATCAATTGTTAACATCAGTCATCTACAGACAGCAGAATTAGAATCACTTCTTATTTTATATGTACTTATTTTTTACACTTTAAAAATTCTCTACAAAATCATGCATTACTTCTGTAATCATAAAATAAATGGATGCTCATGTTATTTTTCATATGTGAAAATATTTGATTGCTATCCTAAAAATAATTACTGGCATGATCAGAACAAGAAGAAATTAGCTGTAAAAGTGTGACTTTCCCTGCTTCAACTTGATGTGCCATGTTTTGAATCCCATAGGAGGCCTGCCCCTTTCTGAATGAAGATGGAGGAGGAGTAGATGGGGAGGGGGTAGGAAGGAGGTAGGGGAGGGAATGGGAAGAGAGGAGGGAGGGGAAACTATGGTTGGTATGTAAAATAAATGAAAAAAAATGTAGTAAAAAAGTGTGACTTTCTTAGGGTAAACAATGAGAATCAAGAAATTCTCCCTAGGCCTGGTGGTGGTAGCACACACCTTTAATCCCAGACCTCAGGAGGCAAAGATGGCCTGACATGAGCCTGGGAAGAAACTGACCTTACCAAAAATAGATGTGAAATGGAACACGTAACGGCATGCACACTTACCACATCCACTAACTGAGATATTGCAAGGCCAAACTTGATTTTTATTTTGTCACTCAGGTGTTCCACAGGACGAACCCACCTTTCATAATCTTCAAATAAATCCTTAAACAAACGGTCTTCATGCTTTGCCGCAGAGGATAGTTCAGGCAATCCTGCATAACAAGTTTTAAGAAATTACTATGCTGGTATACTGGGCTGCTCTCCCCCCAACACCTATACTTTGAGAAAGTGATCCAATTAAAATTTAAGTTATTATTGTTTTAGGTTGGTTTGTTTGTAACAGGATATCATATAGCCCAGGCTACCCTTGAATTTCCTATGTAACCAGGTATAGCCTTCAACTCCTGATCCTCCTGCCTCCACCTCCCAAGTACTGGAATTATAGGCACCCACCAGTGCATCCATCCAGCTAATTTTTAAGACTTATTTTTATTTTAAATTGGGGGGCAGGGGTATGTGCACCCCATGAACATAGGTGTTCAAAGAGGTCAAAGGTGTTCAATTTCTCCTGGAGCTGGAGTTATAGGCAGTTGTGAGTTGCTTGATCTGGGTGCTAGGATTTGAACTCAGGTCTTCTGCAAGAACAGTATGTGCTGTTAATGAATGAACCATCTCTCCAGTCCCCTAATTCGGCTTTTAAAATGAAATAATACAAACACTATGGTCAAATTAGACACACTCTGGTTCAGCTATAATTCTTAGTTAAATCAGATTACTCACTATAGAAATATGCTGAATTTTTTAATAAACATTCAGTACTTAATACAGAGCAACTTAACACTTAAATACCAAGGGCTGTGGGGTTATTTTTTTTGTGGCAGACTGCAGGAATTGGAATGTAGCTTTGGGTTCAACCCCTCATACTGCCAAAACAAAAAGTAAAGGCTTCTCAATTGTCAGGGCTGTATGCAGGGGTTGATAGGAAAATTCTAGAAAACAAACATACTTAATAAAGTCTAACTTTGCTTCACAAAAAGAAAATAAAGATACTGAAGTAAGATTCATGTATTAACTAGAACTATAAAGACATGTACTTTAATTGGCATAATTTTATATACAAAATATTGAGTGAATTATATAGATTCATATTGCTATGTATTTGTATAAAACTACTTTAGGCCCTGAGCCTTAAGGAGGCTCAACAGTGCTAGAATGTCTATCTATTTATAGAGAGAATCCCACAAGATCATTCCCAAGCACGTAATCACAATCTTCCCCTTCCGTCTTTCCAGCACAGTGAATGGGTCCATCACCTGTCTGGTTCTGTAGTCTCAAAACTATGAGTTACACTTGACACCACTGTACAAAATCCACCAGCATGCTGTTGACCTGAGAAATTCTCAAATGCATGTATTTCCTAACCTTCTCTGCTGTCACAAGCTATCTCAATCTCTCCCCAGGAACTAGAAAAAAAAAATCTACTGCTAAAAGTAGTCTCCAGGGGCTGGAGAGGTGGCTCAGCTGTTAAGAGCACTTGTTGCTCTTGCAGAGGACCTGGGTTCGGTTCTCAGCACCCATATGGTGGCTCACTGCCATCCGTAACTCCAATTTCAGAGGATCCTGTGCCTCTTCTAACTTCCCAGGACACCAGGCACACATGTGGTACATATACATACATGCAAACAAAACACTCATAAACATAAAATACAATAAATAAATCTAAAAATAACCAAACTGGTCTCTAATTGTTACAGATTGACGGGACCTCCCCATACCCTGGGGCACTGATCGGCATTAAGTGCTGTTCAAATCAGTTACCACTGTTCGTTAATGATAAGGTCTTTAACCATATATTGTAAGCATCCCTTCAGCTTATCATTATCTAATTAAATAAGCACACACTGGGGCACAGGGATATCTGAGGGCCTAATTAGCACCTCTTGGACTCTGCCTTGATTCTCTGGACGTCTTAAATAAAACTACTAGGACTGACAGCTAACCATTGCCCTGAACACTCTACGGATAAAAGCTGTAGGGTGACTGCCGCTGATTACTCTGGCTCCTGATGGGACAACCTCGGGGTTATTTGAAACAATGTGTATCAGACTTTTTGTTTCCATAAGCCTCAGTGAACTCCAGACCACCCTGCAACCATTTCCACTTTGGCCAGAAGGGGAGAACTCCCACTGTTCGAGGAGGCCCTTCTGTGACTGTTGAGACGGCCTGGGAGGGAAAGGCACGTGCTGCCAAGCATAATGACCTGAGCTCCACCTGCATGGTCCTGCATGGTGGTGGAAGAAGGCAGACTCCCAAAAGTTGTCTTCCTGAGTAGCCTCCACAAGCATCCCAAACAGTATCCCTGGAAGCAGGCACCCTGAATGGTCCCAGCAGAGGCAGAGCTAGGGCAGCTGAGCTGGGGCAGCCAAACAGATCAAGAATGGCCAGGGAAGGAAAAAGACGGGCAGGAACAGAAATAACAAGAGAATAGAAAGCTGAAACGAAGAATACAGGCTGTAAGGGGTCAGAGAGAACCTGCAGGCTCTGGTTGACAGAAGAGGTCCAGGGAGCTGTCAAGTCTTCAGAGCTAAAGGTCTCACAGCCTTTAGGCTGAGAGCTGTAACCATGGCCACTGCCAAGGGCCAGGAGTTCTGATACCTGAAGCCTGAAGGACGTCGCACTAGAGGATGCCACTTGACTACTGCTGCCACACACTGCCAGAGCAAAAGTTGCTGGATACCAGCATCTGAGGACCCTCTCTGCCTCCACGCGGAGGCTGCTATCCGGGTGGAGAAAAGAACCATTAGCCAGCTGAGCGGTGACAGAGTGGTCTTTGCAGTAAGTACCTCACCTGCTCACCATGGCCTGGTTCTCTGCAGAGATCCAGGCAATCTTTTTAAACACAGACTGACTGATGTGACACATTGACCTAACAGCCTTCCTCAGCTTTTCAAGGGTCTGTCCTTGGCCCCTGCTGGCACTGCTCTCCTTGGTTCCAACTGTCCCAGAGGACTGGCTTCTGCCACACTCATTCCCATCTATGAGGCCACTGCCCTCCCCTCCCCGGCCCTGGCTAAGTCACTCATTCTTCAGATCTCAGCCGACGCATCCTCCTCAAACCCTCTTTCCTGCTCCAGTGCACACTGGGGTCCTTTCTTACTGTTCCTCATGTTTACTGCAGCTCTGCGGACACTGCGTGTGGATGACTGAAGTCTGTCTTCTTCACTGGCTTTCTCGTCTCTCTAACACTTAGCAACCAAGAGACGAACAGTAGCCCTTCAGTCGACTCAATGAATAAATGTAGAGATGAATAAGTGAGTCTGTATTCACCTATTGCCACATGCTAATCCTCATTTTTCTCTAACGATATAGAATGTTATCTTTGGTTATGGAACAACCGGCATGAGAGCTGTTTTCTTTTTCTCTGAAGTTCACCAGGACTCATCTTAAAATTAGAGACCCTGTCCTACTCAGGTTTGAATGTAAAGAGCAACATAACACAGTCAATAAGGGTCCGAGATTTGAGAACGGCATAGTGGCACGTATCTGTAGTCTCATACTCAAGTGCAGTGGTTCTCAACCTTCCTAATGCTGTGACCCTTTAATACAATTCCTCTTGTTGTGGTGACCCCAGCCATAAAATTATTCTCGCTGCTACTGTTATGAATGTAAACATCTGATATGCAACCCTTGTGAAAGGGTCATTTGATCCCCAAAGAGTCAAGACCCACAGGTTGAGAACTACTACCCAAGAGGCTGAGATAGGAGGATCACCTGAGCCCAAGAGTTTAAGGCCATCAAGACCTCATCTCAAAAACCAAACTTGTAATTCTAAAATGTTCAGGCTAGATCCCATTCTGGTTCCTAATATTTACAATGTGACTTCAAGGCAAGCTAACCTAACCTGTTTGCATATTGGTCTCTACACCCATGAAAACAGGTATAGAACAGTAGTACCCACCTTAAAAGGCTATTGAGAAGGCTATAAATGTGTGTGTGTGTGTGTGTGTGTGTGTGTGTGTGTGTGTGTGTGTGTGTAAGTGCCTACACCAGCTCACTCTTACTCCACAAACAATCGCTACAGTAGGGGAAAGCTATAGGCCACCAGAGGCAATCACACAAAACCACGGCAGTGAAAGCAAGCCTCCCCTGCAGAGCCTATCGAAGCCTACCAATACCCAACAGAGATGGCCACCAGGCAGCCCAAGGCAACAGAACTTTGCAAAAATGCAGAGGAAGGTCATGTGTCTGTGGCACAAGGCACTCTCAATGTACGATGACAAAGCTTTCTCCAAGTCTCTTAGTTGGGGGTGGTTGTTTTTTTTTGGGGGGGGTTGTTTTATTTTGTTTTGTTTTAAATTCTGAGTCTGTGTCTTACTCTGTAACCTAGGCTAGCATCCAATTCTTGCTCTTGTTGACTCTGCTTCCTGAGTGCTGGGGTTATAGGTATGTGCTACCAAAGCCTCTACTCATTAAAGCTAATAAGTATAGTATCAGTGTACTAATCGCTCATAAATCACATATCCCAGAAAAGAACAAGGAACCAAGTAGTTAAGCAGACTAGGAGAAGAACAGAAACATTTCATGGGACAATTCTCCTAAAGTCTTTAAAAGAACAACAAAAGAAAAACTAAGCTGAACAGCTAACATGTGGAAATACATGTATCATTAACACCTTGAAAGATTTATATTTTTGTTTTACACAATCAGTTTTAACTCTGTATATCAACTGTCTCAAGTCTGAAGAATTGGAATAATGGCATTTAAATTTTTTCATAGAACCAGGGATGGTGGCCCCTGTATGTAACTGTAGCCCTGGGTAGCTAAGGTGGGAATATCAAGACTTCCAGTCCAGCACAGGCTACACAGCAAGTCCAAGGTCAACCTGGGCCGTCTAAAAACAAAAGTCAAAGTCACGCAATTTAGTAAAACTAGATTTATTTTCAAAGAAATAATCTTGCTCCCTAATTTTACTATGGTAAAGAAGACAGAACACAGAGCTGCAGAGCTGAAAGCCTTCATTGAATGCTTGGAATTCCTCCAAGGCTTTGACCTCTGCATGTACAATTTCTAATCTATATAAAATAGGACTATCTCACTGGCAAATTTAATAGTTAATCATGTACGGCAAGAGCTCCGAATCCATCGTACTAGACCTTCCCTCCCCTTCAGGCTTGCACTCCAGAGACTTGAGCCTCAGGCCTGCCACCTGCCA